TATCGCGCCCTCAGCCTCTGAAGAGACACATACCGCGCAGATCGTATGGGCGGAGTTAGATCTACCACTGCGCTTTCAGCCATTGGGGTGCCTCTTCTTTCCAAGACGGTAGAGAGTGAGAGAGGGCACGCCAGTAGAAAACGCACATGGTAGAAGTGACTTCGCCCATCCGATCAGCATTGACCTTTCCCTACATTCGAGCGCTCTACCGCACTTGTTCATTCTTTCTTGAATCCACTCTAAAGTAGGTTCTCCTCCCTTCACTAATGCGTATCTCTAATTTTATCGAACTTCAGACCTAAGTTTGACTCGAAGGATCAGTCTTACCTCTAGTGATGGCATCAAATTTATCCGGACATCTGTCCACCGGTAGAGCCACAGCCGGCCGATCGGCCTTCTTTGCCGGTGGCGGTCGACGTCGAACCACATGGGTTATTCGCCAAGGTGCCAGCGCCAAGTCACGTTTCAATTTTTGCACTGAAATTGTTAAAGTTGCCGAGGGTTCTGGTGCTAGATTTCCTCAAATTTGCCAAATCTGTAAAAAAATGTGAAAAGGGGCTATCCTGTTCAACATCCCAACAATTTCAAGACACCAGAAGCATCGGTGGCTGAAAACATTCATTAACGATTACATTCACAGGCCCCTCTTCGGAAACTACAATTTGTCTTGCCTTTTTCCACTAAGAGCTTCTATTCAACCACGAAATGTGCCTTAAAGGAAGAACCCGCGATTACTCGCCATCTCAGATGGTGGATTAGGGGGTTCCATATAGACGACAAGGGGTTGAGTAACTCAAAAGCACAAAAAACATGCCACCTGCCCTAGATAGAACCCCATTTCGATCCCAGTTTGTACGTGCCCAATCAACTCTATCTCCAAAACTACGCCCTCATCATGCACGGACTGTCGGGCGTCAGTGCGGCTGCGATGCACGGCTGATTCACCGATAAGATTTCTACGATCGTACAAGTGGCGATTATCATGCTTTTTCGTCCTGCAATCTCATTTTTCACTGGAAGTCGGTCATTAGGAGCGAGGTATGAGGGCGAGGTCAGCAGGAAAAGGAGGAGCCCACTGAATCTAATATTGGGCGCTAGCAGCAGCCCCTCCCCGCGGATAGATTTTTTTGCAGCGCAAAACCGGTACAAGGTGCTCAGTCGCGGACACTACTCTGAACGCTCCTGACGTCAATATTTTCAATTTCGATACCTGATCGCGGACCATGGAATGTGCCTTTAACACAAGCATTTTCCACGCTGATTGTATGGTAGACGTGCCAATAAGGAAGATGCAATGAGAGAGAGTATCTCCTACTCCGCCCACTAAATCAGCGTACACCTCAGGTGTTCGAGGTCATGATAGATATAATTGATTTGAAAACACATTTCGCGAAATTCGGATGGGCCGTGGAAATCGACGGCGATCGAATGCAAGCTTTACACTCACCTCCTGGGTTCTAACTCTGCCGGTTCTAACTCTGCCATGTGCGAGGTGAATGGGTGCAGCTATAGTATGCCACCTTCTCCCTTTCAAAGTGCACTGGTAGTGACACCCGGATGCCATCTCCATATTCTGCCATCTCCGCATTGCCGCACTGCCGGCCTACCCTAACCATGGCCAAACACGCTACTTGTCTGCGCTCTGTCACTTCTGATTGTTCTCTAACGTTGAATGTGTGTTTCACAACGGGCCTTGGCACTAGAGCACCACTATCACTTCTGAAGTGGTACGTTAATGCAGCTGCAGCTCCCTTCGCCTTGCACATGGAAAAAACAGCCCTCGGAGTAAATGCACAGCTCGTCTTAGAAGGCGCTCGTGTGGCATGAACGACCTACCGTCCTTCTGTCAAAAATGCTCAGAGCCTCAAAGCTAATAATATACCCCTGGTTATGGAATGTCGCGCTCTCCGTCGTCTCGCTGGATCTTGTCCACTCTGACGAATCAGCGCTGCTTTCTCACTCGGCGTTAAATGAGGCAGCTCCGGTGGAGGTGAGTCATCGTCGACGACAATTAATGGTTGTGAATCCTGAAACAAGTCACTATGTATTACACAAATATTCTAATATATTACTTCTTACCGGTAAATCTAAAAGACACCGCGAACTTACTTCAATCGTCAACGAACTCTCTTTGATTTCATCATTTTGTACTGCAACTGGTACTGCTGAGATAATACTGAAGACGGAACAGAAACCTAACAATATAATATGCTTTTTCATCCTGAAAATCACAGTTTTAAGCAAGGATTCCTAAACTTTCATGCAAAATGAACACAGAGCAAACACATGAACGGTTATGAAGACATGTGAAATTTCATGGAATTTTCTCCGCGACTTTTCCAAGATTTGGTGCTGTTCGGCTTGGAGGAGGCATTTTACGATCTCGCTGGTTCGTTTTTTAGTTCATCATGTGATATCGGGCTTCCCTGTGAGCTATAAACTCTTGCAAAAGTGCGAAGTGGTGTTATGTTCCGGCACTAGGCAGTGCGGTACTGGCCGCAGTACTGTTTGAATCCTGGTGCTCTTGCAAGGGAAGGGTACTAACTCCCCATGACATTTCAAGATGAGATCTAGTAGAGACGTGACATGCCTCTTCAGGATACGATCTAGTCGGAAACTCCTTTACAATTCCGTCGACAGAGAATCGTTCAGCCAGATTATGTGGGCCAAATTTAAAATTGGAATATTGGAAAGACATTATAAAGGAATTAAATTCCTAAAGTCGTGAAGCTCCTAAAGTTCTAAAATCCACCGGTCAGTACCCGAGTCTACGTGTATATGCAACTTTTGACTCTGAAGCGAACGCGGTTAATCACTTAAAGGCACATTCCGCGATAAAATAAGGCTATGACCTCTCAAATGTGTCGGACGATCCGGAAGGCGATTTTTGAGGCTGCGCTACTTTCAAAATGTGAAAAACGGCAAGAACTCCGCTAGAAGCTGGCTAATTAGGCCCATGGACACCCCTTAGGCCCATGCCGACCCTCACCGGCTGCTAGCTACTAGCTAGTAGCCACTATGTTATCTTTCTCTATACAACATTTCGGACTGCTTTTTCTGCTGCTTTTCTCCGCTATCAGATACTTAGCACTTTTTTGCCTATTTGAGTTCCGTTTCCCGCAATTTGCGGTCGCGAACATGTGGCCTTTAAGGAGAGATCATGGCCATAAGAAGGCCAGACAAAGGGGTGCCTCTATGTTCCTTTTACTCCGGAGCCTTTCGACTGCTCAGTAGCAGACTATTTCGTACTAGGCTCTAAAGTTTTTAAGACTAGGGACAACTTTTCTTATTAAAACCTCAACAGAATTATAACCGAAAATTCCACGATAAACGTATTCTAGTACATCTACGGGATCACTGCGTAATAATGAAATGATGGTAGTAGTTTCAGCCAGCAGCTTCCGGCTGGTAAACGATGGCAGTTTTTTGTTGCGATAGAAAATTATTGTACGGAGAAAAGCCACCATCCCCGCAACACAAGGTGATATACACACATCACAGATAGTGCCAAATTTATCACAAGCGAATGAATGACGAGTATAGTGTCTGTAGATATTTCGTAAGCGAAGAAAGTGAGACATCGGAACAACGAGTTCTGAAGATGGCACTTAAGAGAGAAAAAGTGAATTCCTTCTAGAAATGTGTTTTTTTCTTAGTTCTCTCTATCCTGGGATATGTACTGGCTAAGGGTGATTATCTGTGCAAATAAATAAATTACTGGGTCCCATTATTTCCTCTCGCCTCCAAAATGCGCTCAATAGAATTGCTCAAATGCCCGCAGAGCGAAATTGTTTCTGAAAACCAGAAGCACCGACGAGTGTCCCTATAGGATAGCCCTCGAGAGGCAACTATGCCTGAAACTACGAAATCTTTCTACAGTTTGACCCTACCAGGCAACTTATCAGACCGCTCTCATGGCGTTTTTGTTCGCAAGTCCAATCAAGAAATAAGATCTCCAGTAAAGATGCCTTGAAACGCTTCACATGACTAAGCTGCAGAACTTTTCCGTTACCCCTTCGCCAGGGTTCCTCGAGGAGTCTCCAAATAACCCGAAAAATGGCCACAATCGTAGCATGTTTGAATGTTGCTATTGTTTAGAATTATAAGGTTGGAAAGAAAGTCCTGTCACTGTTGTGATTTTTTCTTTTTTATTTTCTAACTCAACATGAAATAAAAACTAATCAATAATATAATCGCCATCGTTAGGCCACTACTAGTGCTCGCACTAATGGGCAACTCAGGCCCTTTTATGTCCCCTTCTCCCAGAACTGAGGAGGCTGCGAGTCGAAGAAGTAGGCAACTTCTCGATTGATGCCATCAAATTCGCTGAAGGTTTTCTTACCTAGGAAAGCCTTGAGGGAGCGGAACAAGTAGTAGTCGGAGGGGGCTAGGTCTGGAGAATATGGTGGATGGGGAACGGTCTCCCAGCCTAGTTCCTCAACTTGGCGGTGGGTCTCTTTAGCCACATGTGGTCTGGCGTTATCATGGAGGAGTACACCGAAGCTCGTCTCGGCAATGGAGGAGTACACCGAAGCTCGTCTCGGCCGCTTTTCTCGAAGAGCTTGCGCGAGTTTCTGGAGTTGGGCGGCGTAAACGCTAGCGGTAACCGTATGCCCTTGCATAAGCAGCTCGTGGTGCAGCATGCCTTTCGAATAACAGAAGCAGCAGAGGAGGACCTTCTTGGAGTGCAGGTTCGATCTGGGTTGCGTAGGCGGGTCTTCTCCTCGAGGGAGCCACATGGCACGACGTAGGTTGGAATCATAGAGGACCCAGCTTTCATCTCCAGTCACCATATCTTCCAGAAACTCCTTCCGGTTACGGTGTAGAAGGAGGGATCGACAGATGCTCACCCTGGCATACCGCGTGCCATCTGTTAGAGCATGAGGTATCCATCGCGTGAGGACTTTTCTGTAGCCAAGGGCCTGAAGGCGGTTTAGAGCTGTTGTATGGCTACACCCTAGCCTTGTCGCAATACTGCGCGTGGTAGCCTCTGGATCCTCTCTGACAGGTTCGAGAACGGCGGAATCTTCTACGCCGCGAGGGCGTCCCAGACGAGGTTTGTCTTCGAAGATCGTCTCTCTCCTTTCGCGAAGCGAGCGAACCAACGGTGGACAGTCCTGACGGTGGTGGTGTCCTCCCCAATGCACAGTTGATGTTACGGGCCGCTGCCGTCGCTCCAGTGCCGCGGCGCCACTCATAGAAGATGATCACTCGAAGCTGCTCCAGTGAAACTGACATCATAAATAAACACAGGGAAGAGCAGGAGCCTTGATATACCTCTTGTGGAAAAGCTTCGAGAATGTTCTACAACCTTAGCATGTTACGTCATGTTGCTTCTATCTATCCATATCGTAAGCTTCGAAAGATCATAAAACTGTAGGCTATCTAAAAAAGACACATGACAGGAGCTTTCTTTCCAACCTATACTATTGGCCTCTTGCTCGCGAAGATTCGAACAAGAAGTTTCAAGAAAATTATTCCAAAATTTGGGGGCTTAAACGCCAACAGAAGCAGAACTTGTAAATGTGTGCACCACACAAAATTGCTATTTAAAATTAGTAAGCTAGTTTCCCGCATGAGAATGTTTATGATGTATAAAGCCTTCTCACTGGAAGGAATCAAGTACGCGTTAACGGTTCGTACTCAGATGTTTTCTCCTTCGAGAGTGGGATTCCTCAAGGTGGGGTCCTATCCCCTATACTTTTCAACATTTATACGGCTGACTTGAGTTCTTTCTGTCTACGGGATGAAGTTGTGTCCAAACAATATGCTGATGACCTCAAGTTCTACAAAGTTATATAGTCCCTCAGGATACGCTTTGAGTACAGGCCACCAAATTGATGCGGCCTTCTCCAATTGTGCAGGCGAATTGGCAGATACCGCTTTCGACTACCAAAACGTTTCATATGCGCATGGGCTCTTCTTCCCACTGCAATGCATCTTATTTCATGAACGATAAGGAGATTACCAAGGTCAATGAGGTCAAGGATCTTGGGTTTCTATACAATAACAAACTTGACTTTTCCCCGCACTACAAGCATATATGTAAGAAAGCCCTTCATCGTACCTATTGCGTATTCAAAGCACTCACTACTTCGGATAGTAGGGTCCTTGTTAGAGTTTATAAGACCTATGTTCGGCCTTTGGTAGAGACAGGAACGGTTGTCTTTGCCCCATATAAGAAAAAGGGACATTGCTATTATTGAAAAAGTCCAAAATAATTTCACCAGGAAAGATGTTAATCCGTCGCGGTGGCTTCCTGTATGCTAAAATCCCTAAGGCAGAAATTAGGAACAAATATTTCGGTCTTCCCTCCCTACATTCCAGGAGGACCCTTTTTGACTTATGTATGTTGTTGCATAAACTGATATAAAAAACACTAAACATAAATTATCAGAGCGGGTCTTAACGTATGCTGCGTTTTGGGCAAAACCACATTGTTTAATGGCTCTGTGACTTCCTTCAAGCGTGCTATATCTAAGCAAGTTCTCAGTGTATAGGTGCTAATTCCTTCATTGTTGTTGTGTTTTTTGTTCGTTTTATGTTTAGATTTGTTCTCTTATATCGAGCGTTGTCGTTTAAACAAGCGTACTAAATGAAATAATAAGAATGTATGCTGATACTGAACATAGAAAGCAGACCAAATGACCCCAATAGTGCTGGAGACTAGAGTACCACCTATCATGCATAATTGGACGACTTCAACCTTATCTCTACTACCCATTTCAGAAATAGTACGCACTAATAAATTTTTTTTCAAAATTCCGTTTTTCCTGCCCACTGGTAGCGAACATAATGCATAACATTGAGGGTAAATTCTTCGAAAAAAAACCACTACGGCGGACTCCAGAGTGCTTTATGCTGATGGCACTTTGGAGACATTGAACTGTAGCCAAAAAAAAATTTAAATACGCTAGGCTTCGGACATGTTTCCGTATGAAACGGTATTCCTCTTCCACTGTATTGAATTCTTCTCAAGTGTCAAATTTTGGCCGAATTTCAAGAATAAATAATAATGACAAAGCCTTCTTTTCTCCCGAACAGGTTGCGTGGCATCATACGTATCTGGTAGGACAAGAACACCGATTCAATTATCGGTTGGAATCCACAAAATTAACTGTATAGGCAGTAGCCCTTTCAAATGACCTTATCATTCCACACTGAAGAAAAACACGTGGCGCATCCTTCTGCATGATTGATGCAGATTGATTTCTAGGCTG